CAAAATGCATAAAATATAATTTGCTGGAAATAGAAGTTTGCAAGCTACAGTGTTACAAATCTGAACATTAATGGCACGGAACTTCTACACGTGTGCTTGTCTCTCAATTAAGGATTGCGCCGATATAATCAAGAAACTTTGTTACGATGTAGCACGATTTGACGAAAGAAGAGAAGATGACTATCCTGACCACGCTCTTACAATAATCATGATTTGATAATTCTGGAAAATTCGGACATTAAGTTTATAGTTCAATGACATTTGTTCTAATTTCATTAGCTTTTCGACGAAAAAAATTCCGCAAGAAAAACAAGTTTCTTTTTCTCGCAAAAGATAATGAATAATCGTCATAATTAAATTTTCATAAGTAAAAGTGCATACGTATAAGTTTTACGTTTAAACCGTAAAAGTTCCTATTATTTTACGAATAAAATATCTTGTGTGTGTGTGTTAATGTCAAATTTATATTAGTAAAGATAACATAATATTCAATTATACTTAATTAGCAGTAATAAAATATGTGTTTTATTAATAAAGAAATATTTCGCATTACGTCCCGACAAATGCATTGACGTCGCGATATCATCAATCAATATCATCCAATAATTCGATACCAAAATAGAAAGAATTTCATGTGTTCACATTTGAATATATGTGTATATATATAAAATATATATATATATATATACACACATAAGAAAATTATTCATCTATTTTTCAAATTAGAAAACGCGATATTAAATATCTTAGTTCCAAGATAGCAAAGATATATTTTAGAATTAAATTCAAAATTATATCTTGACGAGATTAAAAGCGCAACGCATAGAATATTAACCATTTTTCAAGATTTATATGTGCGTTATTCGTGAGTGAAAAAATATTACGCTTTAAAAAGAATTCAGTACAGGGTAATCGTTCGCCATTCGTGGCAATTTTATCTACGTTATACTTGAGTGGCCCACTGAAATCTTTCTTCTAATACAAGGATAAGAAAGAGCTTTATCTCTTGCTTTAAAGTTCAAAGCTTCGTCTGTGGTGGCAATCCCAAAATTTCCTCTTTAAGCTCGGATGGAGCGAATGCAAGCGTACCCGTATCGATCGATAGTTTCTCTCATGCTTCCTCTTTCTCTATCACTTCTACCCTCTCTCTTTCTCTCTCTGTCTCCGCTTTTTCGTCCCTTCACTATTTCTCTCTCTTTCTGGAATGCGGCAATTGTGTACAGCACAACATAACCAATGACGTAAAGCTATAACACGCATGCATAACATGAAATTAAATGACGACGTGCGATGAATGCCAGTTTCTCATGGAGATATCTAATTTTTATGAGTCCGATAATGTGTCATTGTGACAGTTCGCCTCGACATTATATATATAGGGTCAAAATGATTTACTATTCTTGTAATCTCGCTCTTTCGATTTCTTTTTCTTTCTTTCTTTTTTTTTTTTTTTTTTTTTTTTTATTAAATTCGACTCTTCCGTTTTGTCTAAATCATGCGTTAAAGTGCGTCGAGTTCTTGCTACAGAAATTGCTTTTCCCGCAGTCGCGTGATGTTTCGCTATAATTTACGCTAATCTTATTTCATTAGAAGGAAAAAAAATATATATATTCGCCGAGACATATTGCAGTTTATGCGTATATTTTTAAACATGCAAACGACATTCGCGAGATCAGCGAGATCTGAAATACGCAGGAAAAATCACAATTCTCACAAAGGGAAAAGCACGGCACGAGTGAGTATTTTCCCTTTTTTTCTGCGGTTTGTATTGTATTATATATCTTATATTATATATCGGATCATGACGCGATCGGTTCGCGCAAGAGTTCGATATATTATTTTTATAATTTTAGATTGCACACATCGCGATACGTGAATTATATTATTCAATGAAGCATGAATTATATCGGCGGTAACAAACAAAATACGCAACATTAATTAACACATCGGTGCGATTTGAATCTGCATATCGCTTACTGTTTTCGAGCTTACTTTGCGAAAATATTGCAAAAAAAAAACAAAAAAACGGACATGTATGGTAAATCTCGCGCGTGTTACACGGTGTGCAACGTCATGCACTTTTTCCAAATGCGGTACGTCGACCGTTTGTTTCACCAGACGATAATCGTGCTCGGTGAAAAAAAAAGAGCGACAGAGAGAGAGAGAGAGAAAGAGAGAGAGAGAAAGAGAGAGAGAAAGAGTTAACTGCTGCGGTCGCGTGCCGAAGTAAGATTACAGGCGCGGTTGCGTTTCGAAGTTAAGCCGACCCGATTGTACTTGCCAAAGTTAAACCGCCCACATTTCACTCGCCCTTATTTAGCCAGCGGCGTTCCGATGCGCGCCGCCCGTGCATCCTACCACTGAAAAGTTCGTCGCGATGCACTTTACTTTTTGCGCGAGTGCATATTTGTAAAAGGAAATAAAAAGAGCATTTCGTAAACTCGACACACGATCCGGCTGGCGTTTTTCAATACGTTCGCGTCGACTGTAAAGAGTTTGCGCAGAATAGTTGCATGTTAGTAATGTGTGTGCACACATATGAGTATACATTTCCATATATAAATCCGCTATGTACGTGTTTGTGCGTTCGAATCTGCGCGCGATCAATTTTTAGTTACTCTGTACCGTGACACTTTTAATTTATCAGTTTAATTAACGTTGTCTATATGGCTGCTCGTCAATTACTACGAAATCAGCATCACGGTGCGTTACGCATTTTCTATATGAGCACGCCTATTTCTCTGAGAGCGTTAATAACGCCGTTATTACTTGTGTATGTGAAAGTTGATGATGAAGCGGACTTTATGCAACGAATAAAAATAATGAACGAACGAGAAGCCTGGTCTCGATATCTTTCAATATTTAATGAAAATTCATCCAACGCTCGGCCAAGTCAATAATGTAATGGCAGATTCTGCTACCTCTCAACTTTATTTTTCGAATAATAGAGAATGCTTAATTTGATCGTATATGCTGATACACATGTCAAATTTATTTATGTAATTCAAATATATAATCTACGACAATATAATTGTTTAGATGAAGGTTTTAGCATTGAAGGAACGTTCGTATTCATATAATGTAATGTGCAATACTATGGAGTATGCAAATTATATAAGAAACATAAACAAAACTTGTATTCCTGCATCGTACCTTTCGTATTTCACTTAATGAATCCAGAATAAGAATGCTTTACCAATCACGCGGAATTAATAAGATATTCTATATATTCATCATAAATAAAATTAATTAAACGTAGAATCATGTTACCATCGGTTACAGATATGTTGAGAAAGAGTATTTTTGCATCTATATATATATATATATATATCTTTCTCAATATATCTGTAACCAATGGTAACATGATTCTTCGTTTAATTTATTCTATTTATGATGAATATATATACAATACCAATGCGATTGGAAATTGATTAAATTCGTGTTTCGACTAACATGCGCGCCGATCCATCCATCATTCTCTATTGACAAGGTGCCGTTGAGTCACTTAATTTTTAGACCGCTTTACAATTTGTGTACATATATATATATATATATATAATTGTAAAGCGGTCTAAAAATTAAGTGACTCAACGGCACCTTGTCAATAGAGAATGATGGATGGATCGGCGCGCATGTTAGTCGAAACACGAATTTAATCAATTTCCAGCCGCATTGCAATGACGCGATGCGGCGCAGCGCGGCGCGGCACAGCGATTTTAATTTATCAGTTTAATTAATGGATATCTGGTGTACAGAGTTACCAATTAAAACAGAATCAACGTCATCGGGTTTCACGATTTCTTCGCCGGCGTCGCCGTGGCCGCGCGTGAATATCGAATAAGGCCGGAAACGAGCAGCCGCCGCGCTTGCATATTGCGGAATCCGCACAGACAAGCGGCAGAATCCGATAAAATAACTGAAATATTGCGAATGGGAGAATGGAACCGAAGCAAACGTCTGCAACGAGAAATGCTCCGGTGCATCGAAAGCGCGTATCGTGGCAACAAATATTCGCGCACAAGTTTCGAAAACGTTAATAATCTAACGATATAGATCAAAAGTATGTTACAATGGCGATGAAACGATGAGAGAATACTATGCATCGTGCACGAATTATTCCTGTTAATCGTAATATCGTATTGTTGTGTAACGTACGAGAGCCAAGGTATTAATACATTCTGGTGAGATATAATTAATCCTGTGCGCGAACGAATGCCTCGAGAGAGATATGTTTTTGCGTATCGCAATTTTCTTTATAGATCATAAAAATTGTATCGTATCGTAAATTTCGTTCAGCATACTCGTCGGTTTTCATTCATTTACGTGTTGAAAACTCATGTAATCGACTTAATGTCAAGTGAAATATTATTACATTCAGAAAATAATATTAAGCTTAAAACTTGAAAATAATTTTTCGCAGAGAAATTACCTGTTTTGATTCTTTTTAAGAGAACGTTAATTCTAAATTGCGTTGCGAAAAATTTACAAATAAAAAAAAAAAACCTAGGATGTTCTGCATATTAATGTCAATATTACGTGCACATAATTCTCGAGATTAGATAGCTATATTAATAACAATACGACAATAATTTTAATAAAGATGAAAGTCGAATTGATTACTTTTCGATCTATTCCGTGATAAAAAAATTATTTTTCTATATTCTAATTATTTGTCTATAAAATATGGAATTTTATACACGATGTACATCGACTTGAACTTTGTGTAAACGTATTAAAAATAAAAACGATTTAAAGGATCGGTATCACCAAATATAGTGAATACAAAATTGTTGATATTGGTTAATATTCGTACAGCATATACGATATAATGTAATAAGCTCTTGATATAAACGCGTAAAACATCGAAAAAAATCAACTAAGAGAAAACTGCGCTGCCGCTGCGTTTATCGCAAAATTTTAGTTATTTACATTTATAAACTGATTCGCTCGTGTTTCTATAAAGTAAATGTCTCACGAATGCAACATGCAATGCATCTTACCTTCTCTATTATGCATACGAGGCTTATGATAGAGCCTACATCGACGTGATGCTCCTCGCCTCCTAATATAAACGCCTCTGGTATCACTATATTTAGATTGACAAAATGTGACAGTATCCCTGTACTTCTCGAGACCTGGAAAATAAAAGATGTAGTCAGATATGATCGTTTTGCACAGAATTAGACATAATAATTGACATAATACAAGTGACATAACAAAAAGAATTTTAACGTGAAAAGAAACAGATCGTAGAATTTTTTAATTTGATGTAAATACGATAAAATAAAATTATTCAACAGGAAATATGTGTCTAAAATAATATTTAAAAGTAGAAAATATTCGAGCGTATTATCTATTTTTTAAATCCGTGGAGGATAATAATGCACAGTTGGATCAAAATAATTTATAAAGATAAAAATGTTTCACCGCCATATATCGGAAAACTTCGACGTATTATTAGCTACCTCGAGAGCTTCTATAATAAATGCAATAGAATATAATAAATATTATTTTGATAACGATTTTAAAAAGAAAAATACTAAATAATTATAAATGATACGCGTTGTCACCGTAGTTATTAGCTGTTTGTTTATAAATGTTCTTATCTCGTTTTATTGCATATATAGCAAAGATAAGTATGATATTTGTATTATAATGTTTAGAATTTTGATTGAAAATAGGGAATATTTTTAAAAGTTGCCCTAATGTTCAATATATAGGATAACTTTTAAAAAGCTTTACTATTAATCATATATTCACACAATTTTAATTTTTAGGTAATGATTACTTTAATTTTTCACGATCTAAAAATATATTATATTTTTAACCGTATATATGTGTTTCAAAGTATGTAAACGCACAATACGAAAGCTGGACAAGCTTTAATTCAACGGGTTTCGAGTACATAGAAATCGGCTTATCGACAACTTCGTCGAGAAACATTGTAACTCGAAATACTGGGTTTTTAGTATAGTCCATTAAATATTTCAACGTAAAACTGAGTGCTCTTTCCTGGCAGTTCTCTTCTTTTTTAACAAAAAAAATCTTCAAATAGATGGGTACGCGATATATGTCCGCGCTTTATTATCTAACATTCGTCAACAACATCGGTAACAAGAATTTAAAATATACGTACACTCCATCAATTAATAATTTTTAAAATTTTATCTTTTTTAATTTCTATTTTACAATCTCGTTACACTAATCATATTTAATGCGTGGCATTGTGTAACAAACACTATTATAACAAATGCGAGGGAAGTAAAATTTAATAATAACAAAGAAAGGAAATATTATATCGATCCAAGAATCTTCTTAGCATACGAGATATGAAAATAAAAAAGGATTACCTCGTCGTTTCGCGAAACGTGATTGCAATTATAATTTTAATTTAAAATATTACAAAGATTCCATTTCAGAAATTTTACCTCTGTTATATAACTTCGCTAAAATAACACGGCGATTGCGAGTAAAATTATCGTTGCCAAGCCGTTTTTTCTTTCCTTATAACCTACTTCTTCGTAGTCGCAAAACAATAAGCAATTGTTTTTCAGCTGCATTTGCTCGAAAAAAACCATCTTTCTATTCCAAACACCGTCAGATGTCATCAAATATATGCATATACAAGAATAGTTTTTGTAGTACGCCAAGCTGCGCAGAGTGTGCAGCAGGGAACTCCGCGAGTCGCTAGGAAAGTTTGCCGTAGAACAATGGTGTCCATAGATAGATAGGTATGTAAGTAGGTAGGTAGGTACGCCGCGCGCATAAAAAAGCATTATGCGAGTTTGAAAAGTGTATCGTTTCCGCTGGCAACTTGGAGAAGTGCCCGCGTCGGCGGAACTTTCTTCTCTTCTCGACTCTCACCGTGAACAGTGTGCCTGTGAGGGCTGTATACATCCTCGAGGATACACCCCTGCATCGTGTGTTCGTATGGATAATACGTCGCGGTAAAAATGTCACCGCGAATAAATATACAGTCGGATGCTAACTCTGATGTTATTTTTTTCTCTCTCTCTCTTTTTTTTTTAAACGCTACACGCGCGCGCCTTCTGGCCGCGTATAACGTTGCGGTTATGAAACGTCATGAAACGCCTGGCTGCTCTCGGCCGCGCTTCTCCGTTGCTCTTCTCCATTCTTCTTCTTTTTTTTCTTTTTCGTTTTCAAAGAGATATGCGCGGCGGAGAGAGAGTCTCGGGGCTCGTTGTACGCGCTCACCCGCCATTGTCGCGCGCGGGTGTATAATCGCATTAATAAAACGGTATATTCTATGGACGCGTTATAATAGCGGCACGAAACCTTGTGTGCTTTTGCATGACAAAGGAGAGAATTGACAAGCATGCTGATGCTCTTGTTGTCATGGTTGACGGTGGATGGGTCACTCGTGCAGTACAAAAGAACTGCGAATAAGAGAGACGAGAGTTCAGTTAATTAAATCCCTGTGCGTTTAAATGTCTTGAAAAATTTGTTATCCAGCAAAACGGCGTATTTCTGTCGGCAATAAACTCGGACGATGAGCAATAACGCGTAATTGTTATCCCCCACGGCTAAAGGACCTCAAGTAATTTTAACCCGCCATTTCAATCGTCCAACATAAAGTATGACAGTATTTTTTTAATTAAACAATCTCTCGACTGATTTTGCTATTATTGCGTCTTACAATTCATTTCCCATCTTAATGCGCTTCGATTAAAAATATCACATTTATTTCTTTCTGCTTGAAACATTTTTAAGATCATGCTCTGATGAACTTAGAGAAAATTAATTCTATAATAATTATATAATTGTATTATCATATATATAATTATTACTGTCTATTTTAACGATGTAAAATGATTTAATTTACAGTTTTAAACATATCGGGAAAAGAGAGAAAAAAGTCTGTGTGAATATATTTTAATAGCGTAATTATTCAATAATTCATATTTTTGTTATAACGGAAAGATCGATCTCAAATTGATCGAGGTATTTTTGTATTGTATGAAATGCGATGGGCGTGAATTTGTGGCTACCAGGTGCGCTACACACATTCGCAATGATATACTCGCTCATTTCGTCCGATGAACGCTATAAATACGACACAACTACGTATTACCTTACTCGCGGTCTCTCGACGTCAAATGATCAGCGTCGCCGACAACGCGCATGCAAAACGACGCGAATTAGAAATATGTGCATTCTGATTAATCGGCTGACGAGTACCGGTCGCCGCTCGTGTTTATTGTCGCCTCCTCGATCGTGCGGAGCGCGCTGAGCGTTGCCACTCCGAGTGACGTTTATTTTCATCGCGCTTGAATAACGGCAGATAAATTTACGAAGGAAATATTACTGCGCGCATGCTTTTCTCACGAAATTTTATCTTGCCGCGGCAGAGAGGGACTGCCGGCTGAGCGCTGCTATAAATGTTACGCCATGAATTTCGTGCGGCGGACGACGAGCTTTTTTGCCGGCTTTTCAAGATAAAATCGCGGACCATCTGGCGCGGATATGCGTTTACAATTACCGCATCGCCGCGAATTGCCTATGTAAATAGCATTTCTCGCATTCGCGTTTTGAATTGAATCGCGTTTTTTTTTTCCCCGTGATTAATATACGCAATCGTCGCGTCCTGCTAACACAGAATACTCCTTCCGGCGGGATTATCGACCGACCCCGTGTATCGTTCGTTCTCCGCATCCTCCACTAGTTTTTTTTTTTTTTTTTTTTTTTTTTTTTTTTGTTCCTTTTGACGTCGGTGCCTCCGGAATGCGCGGATACTCTTATCTGACGTGGCGGGGATAAAAAATGACGTCTGTCATGAATCGGGCCGTTCGAAAATCTCCCAATTGTGCGAAGGAAAGCCGAGCGTCCCGGATTTTCAGGGGTAAGGCTCGAGCATATATCAGCCGGGCTTCTCGTTTCCCCTGCGAAATGCTCCGCGAAAATACGCTCTTTGCGTCGGTCGTTTGACCCTTGCGAAAATATATTAGAAGGGTACCTTATGCGTGTGTCCTATGCGTCGATGTGTGCGTGACAATCGAAATTATTGTGATGTTGGCTTTCCCATAATAATGCATTTCCTCATTCTTCGATTCTCTTGTTTCATTTAGCATTTACGCGAAAATTGTAATAAATGTAATTTGCGAGGTACAATCGTTCATTTAATACATTTTTTTGCATGCATGATATTTCCTCTTTACATCGTTATTTCGTTAATTTACTTAAGATTGTTTATTTTGTATCATTGTTATCCAAATTTAATCTGTTTATATACTGTTTTTTAATCTTCGTTCAGTTAATTTTTCTTATGGAATAAACATCTTAACTTGGATTATATTAGACTAATAATTATAGCATATATAATGAGCTAAATTAATGGTGCAAAAGAAAAAATATGTGCAAAGCTTGCGTTTATTGAAAAAAATAAATAAATAAAATTACAGATATTCATTAAAAGTTTGCTAATATATATAGAGATATCTCTTTGTATCTATATCACTTTTGCATCATTTCGCATTTTATCTTCTCATTGCACATATTAATAATTAAAAATATATATCATACAAAAAGAAATTTTTCATACATTTCAATAACGCATTTCGCGATTACTTTCAACTGCAAAAGTTTCATAATCATGGAAATCCATAAATATATTTCTGTTATCGATCTTTTTATTCATCGCCTATTCCCTCCTCCGTACGTTGATTAAAAATTTCCATGCGTTTGCAGCATCGTATTATCTCGCGTACTTGCAATAAAGTATGCCTGGAAATAGTAGTAAATCTTACATGTTTTTTTTTATCGCAAGATTCTTACTCTTGATGCTACATAAAACTTTGCGCCAGCCATATCCCGCTGTCACACACAGTCGTAATTAGATTAATGCAATTCAGTTTAATCAATCGGATTATTACCTTTTACAGTATATTAATTATTTGTTTGTAATTCTGAATGAAAATATCGTTAAATAATTCCGCATTTATTAATGAGTGTATTCTCGTATATTTAATCAGTGTCATCATATGTGCTTCAAATTTTCCGTTTTCTTTTTAATGCGATTAAGTATGCTATGATGATTACGTAAATTACTGAAAATTGAAATATTTGTGGAGCAATGAACTAAATTTAAAATGCATTCATATCTTTTCTTAAATCGTTA